AAACATAGGGGAAAAAACCTGACTGAGGAATGTTCATTTCTTCTGTCATCTTTAACTGTTAGGTTCTGTGAGGTTTCAATTTCTTTCAAGTCCGGGGGAAGCTGCCTTATCTGTTTTATGATGGGTGAGCCTACATAGGTTTCTCGGGTCAGTGCTTCCCAATTCACTGAGAAATGCTGGCCTTATCAGGACTAGGTGAGGAAAGTTACACTATCGCAGACTGCTCGGCACCAAATTAGGGATGCCGTAACCTGTGGTTGACCCCCTTAACCAGCACACACCAGCTGACACTGGGCCTCTCAGGAAGGGAGGGGGTAGAGAATGAAGGATTGAGAAATACCTCCAACAGAAAAGGGGAACTCCGCGTCTAACACTGATGAGCTAGTTTGCTACACCTGGGACCACAACAAACAGTCTCAGGATATCTAGCAGTAACAGGAGGAGAATAGGGAACATCAAGTGTTTTTGAATGTAGCCAGGGAAGCAGCTAGTCAAGCATGATCTGTGTGGGTGGGGCCATCTTGCCCAATGTAGGGACCCGTTGCGAATGTGCTCTCTAATGCCCAGGAAATAGGTACAGGGCCATGTGAGAATCAGCATTAAGGCAGTGCCCTAACTTATAAACAAGTCATTTGCCTTGCACAGATACACTTTATACATTAAGCACTTTACTGTGAAGCTTGTGTCCCATTCTGACTTGTCTCCTCATTCCCGGTAGAACAGCATAGATTCTATGTGGATCCACTTCTCTATCTCACTCAGTATCTCCAGCTAGGTCCATAGGTTCCCTGTGCTGCGATATCAGTTCTGGATGCGCGTGGGGCACTGATCGCTAGGGAGGGAGTCAGATCACCAACCTTCTCACTACCAGGGTAACCCATGCCTGGTATTACCTTCCCGCTGATCAGCATTCCCACCAGTCCTGGTTACTTATAGCAGTGACATGTTAGCCATATCTTCCGCCAAATCCACTGCACGATTAAACCCTACATGGAGGCTCTCTATCTTCTCCATTTCATCCCCTTTTGTGTTACAGGCCCTGTTCTTTCTTTGTGCCATGTACCCTAATGCAACCCTTTTAAAGAACTTCAGACCAGGCATTTGCTGACTTCGGGAACATTTGCTAAACCTTCTTTCATGTACAAAATTAATAGGACACAATCTCTTTACCAGTTCATCACAGACACAGTTCCAGTTAACCTGCCCTGCACATGTCATACCTCTAAGCAGAAGGGAAGTCACTTATGAAAGGTCCATGTTCCAGTTCCACTACCCTGACTGGGTACTCTAAAAGGGAAACTACGTGTTCTTGGTAGAGTTACATCTTGCATCACCCCTTTCTGTCAACTCCCATGTGGAAGGCCCAAAAGACCCAGATAGGCTGTCTCCCCTTGAGGGCAGATCTATGAACACCCGGGAGTTAGCAGCCTTAACCCCTACCTAACCCCCTGGGCAGCCTGCTAACAGAACTCACTAATACATTACAAAGTGCAATACAATACCAAGAGGTATTGTGCACCCTAAAAGTGGGCATATGCCTACATCTGTCCTTGATTTGCTGCTGTGGATGGCAGGGGAAACATTGGGGGGTGGGGGGTCTAATCTTCATAAAGAGTACCTGTCATCTACCCAATGCTATTACATAGGGGGCTTGTTAGTTCCCTTGTGACAGCTATAAGGATAAATTAAAATTAAAAAAAATAATAGAATTTAATTTATAACATTAAGCATAACCCTGCACACTTCTGCAGATGCAAACGTAGCACACGGTGCATACACATATGTAAACCGTACCTGCATCACATTTGTAAGGTATCACTGCATACAACAAAATGAGAGCAATAATTCTATGACCATAATTCACGGTTGGTTCTAAATTTATAATCTGTAAAGTCGAGTATTACCTAAGGAGAATTTTGTTTGCTATAGTTTTTCACCATATTACAGGCACACACAATTTTAAGAATGGACATGTTTGGTATCTATTTACTTAATGCAACCCCTTCTTTATGCACTTGATAAACACTGTAAGATGGGAAACAGCTCTCACTGTTTGAATACTGTGTGAAGTAAATTAGAGAACGTCCTGACTGACTTTATGCATTTTGGCCACAAGATATCACTGTTTCTAACACAGCTTCAGACTGCATAGCTATTTCTATATTCAATAAGGGGTGGAGTTCTCTCAAGGAGAGAAAACAGGAAGAGAAAAGAGAAGCCATACTGGAGAGAGAGAGAGAGGAAGGCTGAGTGATTGGAGAATCTGTTGCCATCCAGCTCTGAAGACTGCCCTCCGTAATCAGAAATCCCATTGAGTGAAGCTGATGGTGTTCCAGACGCTAATCCTGTTCAAAGAGGGGAAGATTTGCTGCAAGGAAGCTGATGAGGATAGAGGAGCAATGCAACATACATTGCTGATAATATTGCATGCTCAGTGGAGAGACATTGTTCTGTTCAGAGTCATCAGTGGATGCAAAGCAGGCCCGGGTCGGTAAGATCGTGCACGCACCTCATTTCAGTATTGGTGACCATAGGACTGAGACAGGCCTATAGTTAGTTAGTTAGGGTCTCTGTTTGTGTCAGGCCACAAGTGTTGTTACTGATCATTGGAAGGACCCCATAACTTAAAGTGACATTTCACATTGAAGAACTGATAATTTTCTACAAACTCAAGCCAGACTGGCGTTTTGCTCAGAAGGAATACTCAGGCACGTGCTACAGGAGCAGTTATGGGAGGGAGAATACTGTAGATTTGTGTAAGATTGTAAGCTGTTGTGCTGCACCGCAGGCTAGCGCATACCGTACACCCATACACTGATTCCTGCTCTTTTAGGGTAATAACAGGTAAGGTGTGGCAGCTTATTAGTGCCCACCAGTAGGTAAATTACTAAACTTTCTACCTTCATCCATCAGAAGGCGCCGTGCTGTGCAGCACAAGGGTCCCAGCCTTTGGGCTGAGTGTATGTAAATTTATGTATATTCCGGCATTCGTGGTTTTGTTTATTTGCCACATCTAAGTAAAATACCCATCTTTTTTATTCTAAAATGCCTCTATATTCAGAAATTACATTATATTTTATACAGTTTTAAGTATTTTTTATAGCCAAAATGCAGATTTTAACGTGTGCAAAAATGAAAAAAAAAAGTGCCTTAGAAGAGAACTAGTTAAATGATCTTCTATCAATATAGAACTTATCAACAATTTATCGAAAACCAGTGAAATCACAGAGCAATTTTTTGTCTGTTAACCCTTTATTCTTTTGTAATGTTTTCTTTGCACTTGAATTGCACCTCCTGACTTTCCCATGTTGTTCTGCATGTGCGATTGTCATAATAATTATGGAATTAACAAATCTTTAATAAAGACTCTCTGGGAAATTGCTGTCCTTGTCTCCAAATTTTGAAAAGTTTTTTGGCATTCTCTTTGCTGTGAAATATTGCACTTTCTTTTGAATCAATGATCCATTAAAGTCTATGTCAAGCCAAATACATTTCTATTTTTGGACAGAGTGGTGAAAATTAGGACTTCTGTTAGGCTCTACTGCTATTGATGGTTCCATTAGAGCAGTGGTAGGCAACCTTTGAGAGATGGAGATCTACCTGAACAACATGAAAGAGATCAAAGATCACCGGGGTTTAGCAAGATCTAACTAAATAGCAAGGAAAATGCAGAAAAATATAATAAAACAAATGTCACTGTAAAAAAACACACTTAGCCTACATTAAAAATGGACAGTGTCAGTAGGTCTGAGGTTGGTGCCAGTCACTAGAGCAGTGGATGGTGTCAGTAGAGCAGTGGACAGTGTCAGTAGGGCAGACGTTGATGTCAGTAGGTCAGTGGATGGTGTCAGTAGTTTTTATTTTTACATTTTTATTTTTTAATATTTCTCACACTTTCTTTAGAAGCCCTGTTGAAAGGGGAGCACTGGGGGAGGGGCCAGGCAACAGAAAAAAAGGAGGAACACTGATGGGAGGGGCATCCGTGGCAGCAGGGGAGGTGTTTACTAGAACCAATCCCCTGGATTTTCCTCTTGCAGAAGCTGTATGCTGGTGGGAGGGCAAGGAGGAGATGCTAGCTTCCAGCTGCTCCAGGAGGACAATAATGGGGATCATCAGAAGGCAGGTATTTTAAAAATCTGAATGCAAGTGGCAGGGGATTGGGATTTTTCTGCCGCCCCAGCTACCCTGGTACCCTAAGGCAGCTGCCTAAGCAACCGCATGCTTTGCGTCAGCATAAGGATGCTTAGACAGCTACCTTAGAGCACTAGGGTGGGGGGGGGGGGGGGGGGGGAGAAAAATCCCAATCCCCAGCCACTTGCTGGGAATTCAGATTTTTAAAATAACTGTCCATGGGAAGGAAGGAGGGAGAGATGACTCTGCTAGTGGGGGGCAGAGAACATTGCTGGGTGGGAAGGGGGCCAGAGGTCACTTCACATAGAAGTGTCCTCTGCACATCACCTCCCACCCAGTAGTGTCCTCTGCCCCCCCTTTCCCCCATAGCAGTGACCTCTGACCCCACCCACACCCCCGCCCAGCAATGTCTTCTGCCCTACATTCCCCCAGCCTCCTCCACTAATACTTACATTCTCAGTGCACAGTGGAGAGTGGAAGACAGCAGGGCTAAGGACGGGAGGAGGAGCTGGACAAGTGAACTTTTCATATTTTTGTTGCCGCCCCGCATTAGAGAGATGTACCCTCACTTTTTGTCTCTTTGTGCCTCTTTAACCCTACTGAATTGTCAAGACAGCTAAACAAAGTTTCCTTACTGCACAGCCTGCAAATGGAATCTATGACCAGCGACAGCAATTCTGAAATCTCCTTGGATATGTCTGATGTCAGCTCTTTTTATCTGAATTGTCACAGGGGGTACAGAGTCCATGTCAACAGTCACCTCTGCAATTCTTAATATTGTGATGATTGCATGTTTTTTTTTAATGTACTCAGATTTTCTATGTTTAACCACTTCCCGTCCGGCCCATGTATATAAACGGCCGGAAGGGGACAGTGCAGGGGGCGGGTTGTCGTTCATAAACAGCGCCTGCCATTTTAGACTGTGCGTGCTCACTGAGAGTGCGCGGCACCACGATCTGGTGCGAACACCGATTGCTGTACAGGACCTCTGTGTGAGGTCCCGATCATGTGATCACTGATTGGCCAATCAGTGATCACATGAATAGTAGTAAGCAAGATGTCACTTCTTGACATCATTGCTTACTACCTGTGAATGATCACAGAGATCACATGGTGCAGGGCTATTCACAACAGCCTTGTACCATGTGACAAGCTGTGACCAATTGCAGCTCACACAGTATTTCTCAATGGCTGCAAGAATGTAGCCAGAGAGGAGAAATGATTGCTTTTACAGCTTTTATGGGTGTAAAAGCAATCAGAGTAGAAAAAAAAAAAAATCTTCATCACCCCCCACAAGTAGTACAGTATCACTATGGTGACATTGTACTGCTAGGCTGACAGCATGTTAAAAAAAATAATAATATAAAAAAGTAAAATAAAAAATGTAAAAAAAATGTTTTTAAAAAATTATATTTTGGTTATAAACTAATTTGAGTTATTTTTTTAAATAAAATATAACTGAATACATTTTGGCCAAGATTTATGAAGAAAGATTTATTTGCAAAATTTTATAAGAAAAACACTTTTTAAAAAATGTTTTGGACTTTTTCATTTATATAGCAAAAAAAAAAAATTCCCAGTGGTGAATAAATGCCACCAAAATAAAGTTTTATCTGTTTCAAAAAAATGCTAAAAAATTAATATGGGTACAGTGTTGCATGACCACGCAATTGTCATTCAAAGTGTGACAGCGCTGAAAGCTGAAAATTGGCTTGGGCAGGAAGGGGGTAAAAGTGTCCAGACATGAAGTGGTTAAATGTTCACAGTAGCCCCCTAGTGAAGCCCCTTTTCACCTCCAGGTCTGACAGTAGCTGCATGGGCTGCTCTGGAAATGTCACTGCAAGCACCAAGTTTCACTTTCCATTCTTCATTTTATTATCATGGAACATGGTCACATGGTATGAACCTAACTTTATATAGGGAATCTTATCCAGCAGGTACATCAGGAAGCTCGACAACAGCACATACAATACACGCGAAGACGAACACCGCAGAATGAGGTAAATAAACTATTATCATCCAAAGTGCCAGCAGTGACCAGACACTTCGAGCTTTAAATGTATCTTCTAGCCATCTCTGTGTACATACTCATATTGTTTGCTAAGGGATGCATTTATTTTTTTTACGTGGGCTCTGCTTTAAATAGCTGTAAAATAAGCACATTTGTGGTTTTTTTCATGCGTTATTTTGTGACCTTACATTTTTAAGTATTATACAATATATAAATATTTTCAATTTGGCATATTACTTTTATTTTGCCACTGCATAATGTCCCTTTATGTTTTATTCTCCTGCATTATCAGACAATGGATTGTGCTGGCTGTACTTAAAATAAATGCAATAATGAAAAATCCATGTATACATTTTGTGCGCCTAGATTTGGATCTACATGATGTTGTGGACATGTATGACTGCAATCAAGGGATCAGATGCCCTATTGCGTCTGCTTTTGTGCTGTAAAAGGATTATATCAAAGATATACATATGTGGCCAAAATTATTATTGAGTGTTTTGCCACCCCTCCAGACATTGGATTCAGATGTTCATTTACATAAAGAGGCCCCTTGTAGGTGTACAACTATCAACATAACAGTTAAAGAAATAACCACAAATGTCTTTTCTGGTGCTCACAGGCATTATCAGTTTATTCAACCCCCAAGTGACATTCAATCTTAGTTTTAGTACAGCATCCTTTTACAATTATAACAGCTTTTAAACGTGAAGCAGGGCCTTGACACAAGTGTCTTGCAGCGATCTACGGGTATCTTCGCCCATTCTTCATGGGCAAAGGCCCTCCAGTTCAGTGAATTTCTTAGGCTGTGCGCACTGCAACTGCTTTCTTTAAGTCCCAAATTTCTCAAGGATTTAAGTCTTCGGACTGCAATATGGCCACTCAAAATGTTCCAGCCTTTCCACTGCAACCATAAATCAGTGGACTTGGAGGTATGCTTGGGATTCATTGTCCTGTTGAAAAAATCTCCAAGCCTCAGGTGTGTGACGGACCTGCATCACGTTTCCATCCAAACTGAAGAGCAATCTCATGGTACAGTGCAACGCTGAATTGGCCTGTACTGCAGAAGCCAAAACAGCCCCAAAGCATGATTGCGGGTCCACCAATGCTTCACAGTAGGCAAGGTGTTCTTTTCATCATAGCCTTGTTCTTCCTCCTCCAAACATAGCGTTGATCCATGGGCCCAAAACAGTTCATTAATTTTGTTTGATCAGTCCACTGCAACACTATCCAACAAGCTTACCATTCTTGTGGTTTGTCCACATGGCTTTTGGCATACTGCAGTCGACTCTTCCTTATTCTTTGGAGACAGCAAGGGGGGTACGTGGCAACGGAGGCCTTCATTACGCAGTGTGCGATGTCTGGGCTGAAACTATCTGTACCCACCTGCCAAATCTTTTCTTAACAGTTCCTCAGCCACTTTTTCTCCACTCTACGCTTAAGGTAGCGCACAGCAGTCGAAGTCAGCATCTTCTTTCTGCCACACAGGTAGCGTTTCAACTTTGCCTTGAATTTGCGAATGATGTTCCTAAGGTGCTTGGAATGCCATAACATCGCAATCTTCTTTAGAGCCATTGCCCTTCCAATCACTACTCTTTTTGTCTTTTTCCTGGTTACCATTCTCTTGCCTTCACCATGTTTTAACCACAAGTAAACAGGAACACCAGCTGCCTAATTGGTGCTTATTATGCTTGATTGCTGCTTGCATCCACAACTGATGGAAAGCACCTGTATGAACCTCTGTTCTTCAGAGTGGTTAGTCTTTAAGGGGTTTGTGGCAATGAAAGAAACCACATAAGAACCATTTACTACTGTATACATAAACAATTGATGTCAAGTTGCATTTGGGTGGTTCAACGTCCTTGTAGGATTTGATTCTGCAATTTCCAAATGTACACTATAGTCCCTAAACCCCTTTACAGCATTGGGGGTTGAATAATTTTGGCCACAAGATGTACTATATGGCCAAAAGTATTGGGCCACCAACAGATCATTGGAATGTTCCAATCAACTCCATGGCCCCCAGGTGTATAAAATCAAGCACCTCGGCATGTAGACTGCTTCTACCCATTTGTGCACAAAGAATGGGTCACTCTCAGGAGCTCAGTGAATTCAAGTGTGGTCTAGTGATAGGTTGCCACTTGTGCAATTAGTCATATTCCACGGACACTGTTAATAGACGGTTCGTTTATCAGCCAATTTTTGGTACGAAAAACAAAACACCAGTCGTTCTGTTTGCCACCAATGATTGTGAAAATCGGCCGTTTTTCGCAAATTTTCCAGCATGACCGATAAAAGAAATGAGTGAGGAAATCAGCCAATGCCATTACCCACTAACAGTGCGAAAATCATCCGATTATTCTTCGGACAAAAAATTGGCTGATAAACAAACCATCTATAGCCTGCATTAGTGGTATTATAACAAAGTGCAAGCAACTGGGAACAACAGCAACTCAGCCATGAGGTGGTAGGCCACATAAAATGACAGAGCGGGGTCACCGCATGCTGAAGTGCACAGTGGGCAGAAGTTGCCAACTGTCTGCAGAGTCAATAGCTAAAGACCTCCAAACTTCATTTAGCCTTTGGATTAGCACAACAACAGTGCATAGAGAGCTTCATGGAATGGGTTTCCATGGCTGAGCAGCTGTATCCAAGCCTTACATCACCAAGTGCAATGAAAAGCGTCGGATGCAGTGGTGTAAAACAGGCCGCCACTGGACTCTAGAGCAGTGGAGACGTGTTCTCTGCAATGAGGAATCACACTTCTCTGTCTGGCAATCCGATGGACATGTCTGTGTTTGGTGGTTGCCAGGAGAACGGTACCTGCCTAACTGCATTTTGGCAAGTGCAAAGTTTAGCAGAGGGGAGATTATGGTGTGGGGTTGTTTTTCAGGGGTCTGGGCATGGCCCCTTAGTTCCAGTAAAGGGAACTCTTAAAGTGTCAGCATACCAAGCATACCATTTTAGACATTTTCATGCTCCCAAATTTGTGGGAACAGCTTGAGGATGGCCCCTTCCTGTTCCAACGTGACTGTGCACCAGTGCACAAAGCAATGTCCATAAAGACATGGATGAATGAGTTTGGGGTGGAGGAACTTGACTGGCCTGCATAGAGTCCTGACCTCAACCCGATAGAACACCTTTAGGATGAATTAGAGTGGAGATTGCAAGCCAGGCCTTCCCATCCAACATCAGTGCCTGACCTCACAAATGTGCTTCTGGAAGAATGGTCAAACATTCCCATAGACACACTCCTAAACCTTGTGGACAGCCTTCCCAGAAGAGTTGAAGCTGTTATAGCTAGAAAGGGTGGGCCAACTCTATATTGAACATATGCGTGTAAAGGTAGGCGTCCCAATACTTTTGGCAATATGTTGTATGTCTAAACAGCACTGGGACATTGTCTACTGATAGCAGCACCGAGTCATATTTCACTACATTCTCCTTCATTCATCTTTGACAGAGGGGGATCACATAACGAAAAAGTACCTTATAGAGAGACCACAGTAGTAATAGGTTGTCTTTCCATTTTAATCTACTGGTATACCAAGCATAAAAAAGACAAAGTTGCAAATAAAATATGCTGAGAATTTGTAACCAACACATTTACAAACCATGTCACTCCTACATATACTGCAGATCTGTGTATTTTATATGGGCCCATACTATATAACCAGGAGTACACAGTTCCCAACTGTCTCTGAATTAGAGGGACTGTCCATCTTTTGTAACAAAGTCCATCTGTCCTTTCCTTTTTATTCGACCCTTACTTTGGTGTGGTATATGTACCTATGTAAAAATGCACTATGTATTTATTGTGTAACTGTAAATGATAAAACTGTGTTTTTAACTGTGCTCAATTTGTTATCCAATTATTAAATTGCTGCATTTATATATTTCAAAAGCCAGTGTAAAAAAGTACCAACAATTACCAGTGGGTCTATCATTTTCTATGTATTAATTCTCCATGTAATGGGTTGTGGCAGGGTTGTGTGCTTTGCCTACATACTTTTTTGCAGTATATCAACATTTTAAAGCAAGAACAAAAATGCAACATATGGCAGTTTAGCAGTCCT